CAGAGGGCCAAAAATGGTGCATGCTTTAGTTCCTTTTTTCGAAACCAGATGGCGCTGATCCGACGCTGAGATTTTAGTTCACATTTTTGCCGCCAGAGGGCCAAAAATGGTGCATGCTTTAGTTCCTTTTTCCGAAATCAGATGGCGCTGATCGGACATTGAGATTTAGTTCACATTTTTCCCGCTAGAGGGCGCTATTTTTTATAAAAAGTTTACTTACCTTTACTTACCTTTATTCGATCCAGTTTTTGTAATATGTTATTATATTTATAGTGTATTTATTATAAGGGTTGCAGGGATGTAAGGGATGCAGGGATGTGCGTGATGGGGGGATGTAAGGAATGTACGGATATAAGAGATGTAGGGATGTAAGGGATGGAGAGATGTAAATGGTACTGTGATGTAGGGGTTGCGGAGATGTAAGAAGTACTGTAATGAAGGCATTCCTTACATCCCTCCATCACGCACATCCCCTTGGATGCAGAGATATAAAGGATGCAGGGATATAATGAGTGCAGAGATGTAAGCGATACAGTGATGGAAGGGATGCAGAGATGCAAGGGATGCAGACATTTAAGGGATGCAGTAATATAGGGTTCGGCCCCGCGAGGCACACAAATGGGGGTAAAATAATAAATAAAATAATAATAAAGTCAATATATTCATCCTTTTAATGAGTTTATTCAATAAGCTATAAAGATACATACAGCAAAGGCACACAAATGGGGGTAAAATAATAAATAAAATAATAATAAAGTCAATACATTCATCCTTTTAATGAGTTTATTCAATAAGCTATAAAGATACATACAGCAAATTAAATGAACGCAGAAAATGGAACGCAGAAACACCGAACGAGGTGCGGTAAAAGAGAGACTGGTAAAACAGGCACGATCGTCATACTGACTGTGTTCTGTACACGCAGGCTAAACTTTGCCTAATTGCGGTTAAAAGTAAGTGTCGTTGTGGCTATCGTTGGTATTCCTGGAATATCCCTAAAGGATGAAAGGGTACCAACGGCCTACCTTAGGGGAGAGGTTTTAGTGGGTAGTATATCACCCCTTCTGGGTGGTATGAGTCCCACACTGCCCAGGCCCCCTCTAGCCGAATAGTGCTACGAGGGGATCACCTGCGCGTACGTAAATGTATTTCCTCTTCCATTAAACAAAAAAAAAAAAAAAAAAAAAAAAATATTGTTCAAACTTTGCCTGGAGTTATCTGGGACCCCAAAATCAGAGGAGCTGGTAAAGAAGCATGGACCACATTTCACTTGAAGGGTGTCTGGGACCCCTCAGAATCAGTATCCCTCGGAAACAAAGGCATATCCAGTCTTTTTATATCTGTAGTCACTGAAAACGCGATAGACATATTTAATTAAATAAATTCATTATTATTATTATGAAAGTATCATTATGATACATGTAATCTGACACGAACCTGCATAAGTTTATCCTATACTTCGTCCATAACAAATTGAACTAAATAACAATTGCTAGAAATTTGTATCCCAATCGGAAAAATCAATCGGTACCCCTTTGCGGTCAGGAGGATATCTATCAAAGTTTCTTAAATCGAGATGATTTTTCACCTGGAATCAATGAAATAATAAAATGATCTATCTTAAATATAAAAACACATAAGAGTATATATATTTACTGTTGGTACAACAGGAGCAGGCATTATTTGATCTTGTAAGTTTTGCCAATTGAAAGAACGAAACCACCTGAAATAAAATACATCCTATTTGTAACACTTCCTTGTAACTAATTGAGAGAAAAGGTTAAATAACACACAATTATACCTATGATTACGAATATCATTGACACCATTTCGTAGATAACCGAGTCTCTTGACGGGATCTTCTTGCAACAGGGATTCGATGAAATGTTTCGTAGAGCTCTTTACAGCAGGTGGGAAAAGACCATCGTTAATGCCACGAAGAATGTTTTCATATATGTCTAGGTCGGTTGCATCTTGAAAAGGTGTTCGATTCAGAAGCATTTCATACGTGAGAATACCCAATGCCCAATAATCGACAGCCCTTTGTTAGTAAAATATAATGATCTCTTATTAACTGGGGATTTCATAAAAAATTGATTAACACGTTAATTGCCAAACGTTATTGATAATTTCATTATTTTAATTAGCCATCATTTCAAATGCCTAATACGAATATTTCTGACAAGAGAAGTCAAATAATTTCTAATAATATGGGTAACGTTTGCCTATGGAAATTATCACCTAAATATAGGTGACATGGTAGTTAATATGTTAAGAACAGAAGTACATACTGATTGTAAAGTTTGCTTTGAATAATTTCAGGAGCCAAATACTCCGGTGTACCCATGAAGGTTGTTGTTTTGTGAAGACCAATCCTTTTACTAGATCCAAAATCGGTCTACAAATAATAATATTATTATTAATAATAATAGTTGATGGATTAAAGGAGAATATTGTTTTTAATTATATCTAGATAAAATAGAGGAACTTGCAAGTTTAGCGTAGCCACGGTTGTTGAAAACCACGTTCTCGGGTTTCAAGTCCCTGTAGACAATTCCCAGAGAATGAAGATGGTGGATAGCTTCTACGATGCAAGCAACGACGAATCGGGCTGCAGAATTTTCGAATCTACCATTTCTGTTCAACATTGTCCTTAGATCACCGCCCAAGCAAACCTCCATTAATAAATATAAATACCTTTTGTCTTTAAAGGTTCTATACAATCTACAAAATGATTCTAAATCAATTAATTTATAGATCAAGTCACTTCAGATCATTTTCACCACACTTACTTGCAAATAAACGGCGAATCGCATATTTTCAGATTATTCTTCTCGTTGTAAATCATTTTCTGAAAATTACCCTGAGTGATCATGTGTTTCTTCACCTTCTTCCTGGCGAAACTAACGTCTGACAAGTGTTTCACTGTCACTAATTCCACTCTGCCGTAACCACCGGTACCGAGAGTCCCTTCCACTTCTAGTTCCAATAGAGATACGTGTCGATATTTGTTATCCCAATTGTTGTCTTCTTCGATCGATTTCTTCCTACACTCTTCCCAGTTTTTGTTTCTGATCGATTCAAGTCCTCCAAGATAGTTCAAAAATGTTCTGAACACATACAGAATTTAATGAATTCTTACAAACGAAAAGGAATCTATGGATTTACATACGTTCTTTCTATGGTGTAACATTCTACTCCAGGAGACATCGCAATGGCGTTCGCTTTACGAAAAGGTTCGCCATCGTCGAATAAAGCTTTCTCCCCAAAATAATCGCCTTTATTGAGGGTCATTAATTCTTCCGCAGTTCCGTTCGATTTATTCTTCGTGAGCTTTACAGTACCAGCGTTTATCACGTAGAATTTATTTCCTTTGTCTCCTTCTTGTATTATACACGAATTTGCTGAATAGAATTCCTGAAGTCATACGAATAATTTCAAAGTTCGAAATCAAATTAATTAGATACACGTTGTGTCCTGAATACTTTACATACCACAGATACTAAGTCGCACATTTTTAAAAGGACCTCTTCTGACAGTTCCTTAAATATCTCTATTCGACGAAGAAGCTTGAAACAGTATTGTAAAGATTCTTCGTTATCCCTTATCATGATTATTTGGAACATGTGTCTGTCCAGAACCCAGACTTTTCCGTTTGTAGTCACTGAACAGAGAGATAAATATGGAAATCCAATGAATCTTGAGATATTTATTAAATTGTCATAATTAGTAACTCTGATAATTTCAAACAGTATCAAATTTGTAAAAGTGTATAGCCGGGTAAGGTAGGCAAAATGGCCCTTGCACCAAATTAAATTCAGAATCCGTCATTCGGTTTTGCCTACCTTACCCGGCTATACCCTTTCCGAAATATCAAGAATGAAAATTGAATACCATCTATGGAACAGAGTCTCTTGGTGTTGTACAATAAGGCCAATTCACCAAAGGCGACCCCAGGGCCAAAGCTCCCATGGTACGTCTTCCCCACGTAGATTTCGAATGTACCTTTCTCCGTCACGTACAAGTGAGAACCTATTATATATGAATGAAATCATACTAGCGATAAGAGATTTCGAAAAGAAGTCATTTACTCACCAGTTTCACCTTCGTAAATGATTCGTGTGTTTGCTTTCACGTTTTTGGGGTACATCACCGATACCAGATTATCGATTCGCGTTTCATCGAAATCACTGAGGAATTTGTTGCTCAATAACGCGTTTTTGATCAGCTTCTTCGTCCTAAAAATGATAGTATCGTTAGAATAAAATAGATGAATGAAAAATAGAGGGTAAAAGTGTCCTTTTACTTGTCATCCTTCTCGTAAACGGTGATGGGGGTACCAGATGAGACGTTCACATCGCCGACTACCCCTGCTTTCCTCTGATGGGATAATTCTACATAGCATTCTTCGCTATTCTGTCGACGCGTACGAAAAAACTTGACGTTTGCTCGAAACGTTTTTCTCAAACACAAATAATGCATTTTCTTAATAGCCACTGGGCGAAAAAGTTCTATAACACTTGTTCAACAAATGAAAGCACAAAATATTTTATAAGAAAATGAATAGAAATACTTCTTCCAAGTATTTTCTATGATAATGTCGAAGATCACAAGAGGTAGATCACAATTGATAGGTAGAATGGCAGTCGATTGACGTTTAATGGCAATGATAGAGATTAATGATCTTATCTTGAATGAACTGCAATACTGATCTATGAGTAAACGGACTTGACAGATGGTCTTGATAGATATGACGGTATCAAGGTCACATATCCAATCAGTTTATGCATTTTTTTCGTAGCGTAGTTATCAGGATCATCATTGACATCGCGTGCGTTGATAACATATTTAATATAAATTCTAGGTAATTAAATTATACTAACAGAATTAACAGAAATACTAACAGAATTCTTCATTGAAGTCATGATGAAAAATCTGAAAAGGTAAAATTACCTCTTGTGCGAAAAGGATTAAAGGAAATATGATCTAATAATCATTCGTTAACTCACGTATCAATTTATTAATAATTGGTAACAATGACGTATAGTTCTCATGATAATAAACTTTTTCGATCGCAGAGTATCTCTTTATGAATCATCCTATACATCCGCAAGGGATGGACTTATCTAATTACAGCGTAATCATTCGTTTTTACTATGGTTTTGGACCCTCGCTACAAAGACCATTTGCTGTCAGCGGAACAGAAGCAAATAGCATACGAAATACTTGGTGAAAAAATTGTTAGTATGCACAAAGGATCTTCGAGCGATGAAGATCAAGGTGCAGGTGAAAGAGGTAACGATACGTTTTGAGGATGCTAAGTATAATATTTGATTATAATTCATCCGTCTGTTCTAAATATTTTATTAGGTGAAAAGGAAAATAAATGAAAATTATTAAATTTCTTAAACGATACGTTATTTCTTAAACAATACCTTAACACAGAAGTAGAAGATGTTGGATTTAATAGCAAGAAAGGTAAGGAAAGTGAAAGCATCTGAAATGAAAGATCTGAAAGCATTGTTTCGAGAAATACTGATATCATGGATTGTCGGAAAATGAATAATTCAAGATTTTCATTATTATCCGAATGAATAAACCATTATCATAATGTCTTGCGTTAAAAGTTCGTGTCCCATCCAGAGAATTCGTCAGGTGGAATATTGCGATCTGGGTGATACGTTTCGAAATTCCTTGTATCGATTTCACTTCGCACCTGTAATTAATATTTCGAAATATTCAATAAAAATCTTCTGGAAAGCACGAGCTATTTCCATGGATAATTATTAATTACCGTAGGGACGATGGGTGCTGGCATTCTGAGTTTTTGTAAAGATTGCCAATTGAATCCATTGAACCATCTGCATAGATAATATTAAATTAACAAGTTTCGTTTGCAAATTTAATTATAAACAACTCACTTGTGGTCCCGAATATCCTGGATACCGTTCCTCTGATATCCTAAACGTTCCGAGGGCCTTATACGAAGAAGTTTTCTTATCAGACTGTCTGCATTTTTGCTAACGATACTTGGTATTCCAACTACTTCAATTCCTTTCAAGATTTTATTATAAGTACTCATATGATCGGAACCTCGGAACGGTGGTTTACCCACTAGTAATTCATGAGCCAAAATTCCAAGAGCCCAGTAATCAACCGCCCTTTGATTAAAATCATTTCAGATATTATCTCGAAGAAAATTATTTTATTTTCAAGATCTTCTACGAATTAATTACCTGTCGTGTCCTTTGTTCAAAATAATCTCCGGTGCCACGTATTCAGGTGTACCAGCGAACGTCCAAGTTTTCGATGGACCAATTTTTTTACTGAAACCGAAGTCAACCTAAAAGCAATCGAAAAAGCATTCATCGAGTACATTTCAATTTTCATGAATTATTATTAATGATGTACGTTGAACCTACTAATTTTAAATATCCACGAGTATCGAACATAAGATTCTCCGGTTTCAAATCTCTATAGACGATGTTCAACGAATGAAGATGATCCAGTGCTTCCACCACGCATCCCACCATAAATTTTGCGGTCGCATCATCGAAATATCGTCTCCTTTGAAGAGTCGTCCATACGTCACCGCCTAGACAGACTTCCATCAGGAAATAGACGTATTTGCTGTCCTTGTAGGTCTGGTAGAGTCTAAATCAAGAAATGAAGAGACGCGTTAATTAAAATATTTCGGTTACTAATGAATTATACACACTGTAACGATGATACTAACTTGCAAATAAACGGTGATTCGCATGCCTGCATAATATGTTTTTCATTCAACACATGCTCCTGTTGTTGCTGTTCAACCATCTCCTTCTTCTTCAGCTTCTTCAAAGCAAAACTCTTCTGATCATCAGATTTCAAAGTGACCAATTCGACCCGTCCGAATCCGCCAACTCCCAGAGTACCTCTGGTCTCCAAATCGGCCAAGGTCACGTTCGAGTACTTGTTCGTCCATTTCTTCGGGGTCAAAGATCGTTTTTGTCTCTCGTATTCCGCTACCCAATCTTTGTTGCGTATTTCATCGAGACCGCCCAAATCATTCAAGAACGACCTGAAATTTCCTAATAGATCATTTTCTTCCTACAAGAAGATTCACCAAGACTTACTGTCGGTCCAGGGTTAAACATTCGACGCCAGGCGCCAGGGCGACCACGTTAGCGTGTCGTCGATTTTCACCTGCGTCGTCATAAAGAGCCTTCTCCCCAAAATATTGTCCCTTTCCGAGGACTACCAGCTCCTCTTCGTCTCCGTATTCGGTGTCCTTAGTGATCCTAACATTTCCACCGCTAATTATGTAAAATTTGTCACCCTTCTCTCCTTGTCTCACTATTTTAGCCCCAGCTGGGAAGAATTCCTAATACAGACACGTCTTTCTTTCATTGCTGCTCGAATTAACCCTTTCGGCGCTGCATATTTATGACAATTATTTGGACGTGTATACACGTTCGTAGCACCGAAAGGGTTAAGAGATGGATTCAGTGATGTTAGATGGGGTAGATTTTTTCGCGCATGCACATTGAATGTAGCGTCAATGAAGTAGTTACTCGTATGAAACGAGGGTTCTACAGTGCCCCACATTTGATCTTCTTTAAATTATTAAAAGATTTGGAGTTAATTAACTAAAATGTAATTATGAATAATAAATGTATTATAATATAAGCTAAAAAGGTGAAGAACTTGTTACTACCCTTTGCAGTCTTGCCGAAACTCTGAGGTTCGCGCATGCGTGAAAAAACCTACCCCCATATATAATACATAGATAAAAACGTACCACGCGTAACAGATCGGAAATTTTAGCAAGCAGGTGGTCCTTTGGTTCTGGTAACTTTTGGAGAACGGATACTTGTCGAAGAAACCGGATGTTCCCTTCTAATCTTTCCTGAGCTGTCCTCATCATCACTGTGAGGAACACTGATCGATCGAGTACCCATACTTTTCCACCCTTCTTCACTGAAAATCATATTCTCTGACACTCTTTCTACACTAAACAATGTATCAATGTATCAATTAATAAATTTACCATTAATTGATCGAAGCCTTTTCGAGTTGTACAACAAAGCGATTTCCCCGAATGCGATACCTGGTCCAAAACTTCTTTGGAATTTATTACCCTTATATATGTCGAATTCTCCCTCCGCAGACACATAGAGATGCGACCCTGGAATAATCATCGAAAAGAAATTACACTAATTCTGTGTGAAATAAAAATGACAAATATATTTTACCTATGTCTCCTTCTTTAATAACCAAAGTATTTGGTGGTATCGTTTTAGAGTACATAGCAGATACCAGTGCTTCTACTAGGTTCTCTTCAAGATTTCCAAGGAACTCATTCTCCAAAATCGCTCTCTTGATTAGTCGTCTACTCCTATATAAAAATACAAAGATTATTAGTACACTTTTATTTAGAATCCATCCAAGTATTCTATGTATCCTTTATATTACTTGGAATCCTTTTCGTAAACGGGGGTAGGCGCAGAGGGTGGTGTCGGAGTTCTACCAATAATACCCCCTCTGGGATTATTAGAGGGTTGATCAGAACCATCGGAACTTCTAGCATCTTCTCGTTCATTTTCATGATGCGTCGGAAGGTGGTTTTGATCCTGTCGGGGTGGCATCGGTGCTTTACCTTTTCCACTGGAACTTAGGGGTGGACCGGTTCCATTCGATACAGCGCTACCAGGTAGCGGTCGTATCTAGGAAAATTCATTATCCGATTTATCATAATTAATTATAAAATGATTCGTTCACTTACCACGCCGTGAGTTACGTCTAATTCTCCGGATCGTTTGTAACTAGTCGCCACAGGGGTCGTTGTACTTCCATTCTGCAAATAATTTCCAAGGATTTTCCTTACCAAATATTTCTTACAAATTGATTTTTCCGAGATGATCGCTTACCACATTAAAAGTGTTCACATGATTCGCCTCGTCGTTGCCGGGCAGAGGGGTAAGATTAATGCTACCCCTCTGTCCCAGGATACTTGCTCGCGGAAAACACGAGAACCTCATCGTATCATCTTCATCCAACGCATGTCGGAAGCACACTCTCTTAGCTCCTGAAACACGGTGGGAATAAGTTAACAGATATATCGTGAATTTTCAAGAAATCGTATTCGCGTGCGACTCGGCTATAAACACGCGATCCGAGCCAATTGTTTTATCTGACTCGCGTTCAACGTCGAATTCCTTGGTCGCGTTAAGCGTGATAAGGATACTTATCGGTTCGCGAGCATCGTACGAGCACGAATCTGCTTTATTGCGTCCTTTATTACCGCGAAACCATTATTGTGGTTTCTTCGAGTTAGAGCAAATGTTTGATCAGTGACTGTTACTTATATTTGAGCAAGATTAATGTCGAAAGTTAAGAAATTGTTGGCTCGCAAATGGAATTATCTAATCCGTGGCCTGATTCAGGCGTCGACCAAGAAGAGATCCCTTTGTTGCCACGATAATTGTCATCGTCGATTTCTTTATCTAATTAATTACTAGAGATGGTGTCGATTGATATCGATATCGAAGCACGAGTTTCTCACCGTTTCTTTATTCGTCAAATACTGTGTTATTAATGAGATCGCTGTCTGTCGTGGACAAACAGCCGTCAGACAAAAGATTTCTAAGATGTTGGACACCGAGCACGTGGCACATTCGCCTCACCTAGTCACATGCTTATGCTAACGATGATGGATGCACGATATATCGTCTGCTGACGTCAAAACACATTAGCACGTTCTCACGACGAGGATATTTTCATTTCGCGGCATGATCGTTCTATTGCTGAAAAATTTTCCAACTCCACTCTTATTATTCGCTGAGCATAACAACTGTTTGCCGGTTTCACCTTTCGGAAGAATCAACAGACATTCGACGTTTTCAACGTAGAAATGATTTTTGAAACTCGAGCAAATTTCATTTACGTAATCGTGCAGGATTACTTTCGAGTTGGCAGAACGAATTATCGAGTATGAATTTAATAAACGCTGAATCGAAACGATTCTTATCGCGAATGTAACTTTATCGCGAATCTCTGCTAATCTCCGTGCAAAGGAATTGAAAAAAATTGCAAGCTCCACGAAAAATTGAATTCTTAAATTAATAAAATTGATTCTTTATACTTCTGATTAGCCATGTTAAATATCACCGCGATTGCAATGGCAAAGTTAGCCTTGTTACAGGGAACAACCTCGCTGGATACAATCTATTAAGAGAATGATAAGGATATTTGATTAGCCATCCGAGAAGAATCCAAAGCATGTTATTTATAGCATGTTTGCAGAACGAATTGCAGTATCCTTGTGCAGATTCCTAGAAGCTGTTTTGTCCCAGATTCAAGGTTTCCCAAAAATTCTTCCCGCGATACTTCATTTATTTGCAAATCATGTAAATATAGTTATGAGATGAATAATCTTTAATATACATCTCGCACAGTACATCGAGATTTAATTGTAAGGAGATCACGGTTTCCGGTGATTTCAATGCTAAAAATCAACTCTTATTTCGTAAGAGCAATCCATTCTGTCCGCAGATTACGTTTAAAGCATATTAAACAAAACCGAGGCGAAATAAATTGCATCGAAGCAGCGGAAAACAGGAAAATCTTTTCTCATTTTTTCCTTCTTGCCTGATCGTATCTGACGAAACGCGTTTCCTGGCTCGTTAGAGGTCGAGCAATTAACTCCGAGGTATAATTGGAAATTAACGCTGACGGTGTTGGTCGCGTATTTAGTCTCCGCTTTTTCTTTTCTCGCGCCGATATATTTTCCGGATTCTTCTGTTTTACGTAACACCCTGGACGATTCTTTGCATCGGCGTGCAGGTGTTTCGCAATTTATCTTGCACAATGGTTGCAAGAATGTCGCTCGTTGAACGCATGGAACGAGAAGTACGCGAGATATTCGTTCAAGAAAAAATCGTTTTTATTTTCTCGGATTATTATAGGATGGTCGTGTTTCTTTTTATTTATACACAGTGGAACTAAAGAAAATACTTGATTTACCTTGCTTTGAGTATCTTAGCGTTTATCTTTTAACGCTAATTGACACCGAAGAGATGATAAATGATAATTAATTATGAAATACCAGTAGCCTAGATAGCAGTTAACGAATGGTTAACAAAGATTAATGTACAGTAATAGAGCAATTTGTATGAACGTAAACTATGCATCTCAATATTTTTTGTATGCATCTTTAATGACTAATGAGTCATCTTATCTTCGTTAACTTGCAGCTTATATCATCCCACTTGCATTATTGTTATTAATACCTCTATCTAATAATCCGCATCTGTTCTCCGTCTTAAATTAGACACAACGCATCCTTGTATTACTAAGGCAAGGAATTTTTTTTAATTAACAAATTACTGAACATAAGCCCGACACACGTGGTCAGAATACTTATTTCATTAGACGTTACTCGCGAATCGGTTTCTCTTTCTGCAAAGTTATTTTTAAACTCGATCATTATTTCCCGTCGTGTTATCGTGTTTGATTTTCCTCTAATTACTCTCTTTAAGTGCTTTATTACGTCCACATTTGCCCAGACAGGATTTGTGATGTTTGCGAACGAGGGAGATCTTATTTTAAGCACTGCGGTGAGCTGTAAAATTTTTAAGAAATGAATTTCACCCCTTTCCATGGGATGCTTCCGATAGCATACTGTTCTTCAAATGATATACAAAACAAGGAATCAATTGTTAATTTACCATTTCTTTGTTTCGTGTTAGAATTGCACAACAGGATTACCTAATCGCGCGATATTTGCTCGCGCGCCGCTAGCAAAATCGCGGAAATCTTATCAACAACGTCGAGGTACTTCTCCCCTTTGAGTTGCAATCGGATCGCAAAGTATTATCGTCGTGATTTTTATCCGATGTCGAATGTCGTTTCCGTCGTGATCGATCAGATCGTCAGATAAACCCGGTCGAACCACAGAACTTTGTCGTTACAGTGAAAATAATCCAAGTTTCTTGAAACGTTTATGCCATTTGAAATTCTTAACATACGATAACGAGTTATCAGTATTGACACTCACCTTTCAGATTTAAGGCTGGTTATATTAACGACGATGAAAAAAAAAAAAATAATAAAATAAAATAAAATAAAATAATGATTGAACATCGAGTGTAATCAAGAGGAATTACTTTAATTAACGATCATGTATCAGACAAGAAGAAACGGTTTTAGGTAAGAACGATCAGCTGCACTCGCTGAATTCACGCATAAAACTGATGTCTCAAGTTCGACAATGACGCAGAAATCTTATCTAGCCGATAACAAAGAGACAAAGTGTCAACAGGCAGGTACGAGAACGCTCGTCTTATCTAACGAATCCTATTCTCCTTTCATTAATAACGCAGCTACAATGCGAAATTTTTCGGTAATTCGCATTCTAACCCTTCTAATCAATGGTGTTATTATAACACCATAATTAATTTTGCTTAATTAATAAATTGACAATTTCTTTATATGACGCATATGGTGCGTCGTCGCTTGATAGTGTAGGACGCACATGGTGCGTCGTCACTGGAAATATTTCCTGACAGTGGAACTTCAATTTTAACTTGAAAATTAATCTTCACACGTACGATGATAATGGAAAGTAATAAGAATACTTTATCGTGTCTTTAGTGCAGTATCAGTGCTATAAATAATTATTTTTCTGGGGAAATTCTAGCTTTGTCATTGATGATAGCTACGACCGCTAATGTCTTGATTCAAGTACGAAGAAAATATTATTTTATTGCAAATTCTCAGAATTTAACAACTTATTTATCTAATTGTTTGATAAATTTTGTTGGTTTAATCAACAATTGATTTAGAAAGGAATTCAAACCCATATGAGATAACATGGTTCATCGATCACTGATCGATAAGAAATGCATCATAACGACTGCTGAAAGAATAGTATTTTTAGTTGAAGAAACGTGTAATAAAAATATTAAGGAAAGAGCTGCTATCGTGGACAGAAAGGTTCATTGGAATGCATCGGTTCTTATGCAATTTTTCCAGGGTCGTTCGAAGACACTCACCCATTTTCTTATTTCCTATTTTCTTATCTACGAAACGATGATTTCTTATCTATGCTTTTATCGTTACACGTCAATTGAACATTGTCATTTTCTTTTCTTTTTTCCTTTCCACGATGAACCTCAGAATTATTCTACTTACTTGGTCACGATGAACGAGCAGTTATTCACTTTCAAAATGTTTCGTGGTATTATATTATTAGAAGCTTTGAAAAATACGCGTCGTTTCATACGAAAAATTACTATTAATTCTGAATCGATGAATCATCGACAAACAGATGTTGAAAACATTGATGCTACATTTTTAAAATTGATTTGATTGAAAGGTATAATCCTCGTATCGATGCTAGACAAACGTGACGAGTCGAGCAAAGTGCAAGAAAATTATACGCTCTTTCAAAAAATCATTCACTGCCATTCCAAATTCAATACAGATAAATGAATCGGAGAAAAAAAATTAAAGGTAGGATTTAAATTCCAAAAGGAGCTTAGGAAAACAGACAAATCATACTCACTTTTCAAAGTTTCTCTTTTTCGCTTCACAAAAGGATACTCTTCGTCAATTCACAAAATTACAGAACGTTGTACACTGTTGATCATCCACAGTCTACTTTCGAGATTCATTGTCCGTAACCAGGCACGATATCACGCAAATTGATTATCCTCGTCAATTAGAAAGTGGATCACTCTAGAAATGATTCATGAACAATGATCTTATTTTATAACTTTCATTTTTCACTTGCACCGAAATCAGATGACCACCTTTCCGGTATCATTCAAATCAACGATCTTTAAATATTAAAAAGGGATAGGTGTGAGGTACGATGTGCATGTTCAAGGTAGACGATGAACGAATGGGTCTGGTTCGATGGAGTCGAGGTGTTATCGACAGGACGGTCTCGATAATACTGGATGAAAAATACTGACACACGTTTTTCCAGCACACGATGTGGGGGTATTGGCAATTATTATCGTTTGGCACTTTATCCACGTGATACAAGCTGGCCGTCAGCGTTCCGATTACGTATTCCACTCCACGTGGACGTGGTCACGATTGATACCGATCCTGAAATGGCCCGGGAAAGTATATTTCCATTGGATCGTTTCGATAAGATCGTGTTTTAGATACGAACCGTGTTTAACTCTCGAACGATGGACCAGATAGCGATAATTGAATTTTCATTTTCATTTTCGAAACTTTCAATTATTTCTTCGAACGAATTGGGCCAATGGTCAAAGTGGAATACCTCGAAATGTAAAAAAATTATTGAAGCCAACTCGTAAAATTTTATGTTAAACAGAAATAAATATTACTAAATACAAAACGTTGACGCACATACATTTCACTTTATCTCTATTGAATGGTGTTTTCCTATCAATAATGTAAACATGATGATTATGACATATGTGTGTCAGTAACTTTACTATCGACTTCATAATCGTAACGACTAATTATAAATTCAATGTTCAATTATAAATTCAAAACAGTTTCTTCGATCCTCCGTTCGTTATTGACGATTTCTGGTCGATTTGTTACAAGAGATATACTTACGATTTATCAACAATTATTTTACTTTCACCTTTTATAAAAATAATTTAAGAATTTATCATCTTATTTAATCTACATTTATCGTCAGTATAAAAAATAAATATAGCACTTCAGAGACATTCAATTGTTTCAGTCTTTCAATAACAACTTCATTATTTCTTAATCAGCCATCTCATCATTTTCTTCGTTAAATTTCAACATATTTGCGAAAAATCCAGTTTGCTGTTGAGATAGATCCATGGGTGAACCATCCTGGACGATTTTGCCCTCGTGGAAAACGATCACCCGATCGCATTCCAATAACGCCGCTACTCGATGCTGAAGAACATACGTACACAATGATAGTCAAGTAGAACAGCAGCTGTTACAAGTTTCTTTCTTAACACAGATAAAAAGTATGTTTTGTATCTATCATAGGTATGTTACCGCGATAACGATCACTGTTTTATTCTCGAAGGCGGTCGAAACTGCTTTCAAGAGGCTCTTTTCGGTAGTAGAGTCAAGTGCACTAGTTGATTCGTCGAGAACAACGATCGAGGACTTCCGGAGAACAGCGCGGGCCATGCAGAGTAGCTGAAGCTGACCGGAAGAGAAGTTTTCCCCACCCTCTCGCACCTCGAAATCTGTCAGCATTGAAAATTATCATTGTTGTAGGAACTTTCTTTAATAAAAACAAAATGGTAATCGAAAAAGAAATAAAATAAAAATAAGTATTGCAACCGAGTCCTTCAGGATGAGAAGCTACGACGTCCTTGATCTGGGCTACTTCCAAAGCCTCCCACAATTCACCATCTTCGTGTTCCGATAGGGGATCCAAATTCTTCCTGAATGTATTGAAAATATTTTATAATGTAATTGTTTTTTAATTTTTTAAAGCGTTGAGAGGATTACCTGATGGTACCACTGAACATAATCACATCCTGAGGAATTACTGACAATCGTGAACGAAGTATCTTTAATGATACTTGACGAGTGTCAATTCCATCGATCATAATACGACCTTGCGTGATTTCTAATAATCGAAACAGTGCCATTGCTGTGGAGGACTTTCCACTTCCGGTTCTTCCACATATACCAATCTACACATCATATTTATATATTCTATAATAGAGCAGTCTTTTCATTTTTTATAATTCTTACCTTCTGACCTGCTGGAATCATTAATGATAAATTTGAGATCACCGATTCTATCTGTGAATCGTATCTCAAAGATACATTATCGAAAATGATTTCACCTTTAGCGGGCCAATTTTCAAATACACGGAGACCTAGAAATTTGTCCAAAATTGTTCATTTTTCAATATTCTTTCCCTAAAGTTTTATATACCTTCTTGATGATAATCTTCAACAGGAGCGTATCTGTAAACCGAGATTCGAGCCACGCTACCCAGGTACATCTCAATCTCGGCTGTGAATTTCACCACCCAATTCAAGTAAATTGGCACTAGAAGCGTGTAATTAATCGCCAGGCCGACCAAAGCAGGCGTCACACGGTCTGGGTACAGCTCGGCGGAAATTAAAGCAGCAAAAGTTGCAGTGACCACTATCACTGCGCCCAGATAGTCCTAAGAAACATTCCCAATAAATGTGCAAGAAAAATAAGATTTGAATCTTTCGAAATCTTGGAATTATCTTACTAAAGCGATGCCTAGCCAACGACTGCTCGAGTTTAGAAGTAGAAAAGCGTTAGTATTTGTGTCCAGACACTTCAGAGCTTGCTGCATGAAACGATTCTCTTGTTTCGAAGCTCTCAGGGTTGCCAAACCACGAAGGGTCTCTGAGAAATGGGTGGCAATTGGCCATCGAGTGCTGGAAAATCATTTAATCTTCGCTTCCAATCAATATTATTAGAAAATTATCACCTCACCTTCCGTCTAATCTTTGCAAATGCCTGGCGCTGCGTCTGTAAAATCTTTGAACAAGATAATAAGCTGCGCAAGTAGGTACAGCTGCGATTAAGAACCATGGGGAGACTACTACGTTCACTATAATCGCTGATCCACAAAGTAGAACGAAGAATGTCAGTCTTTGGATAGACATGGAGATTTTCTTGAAAGAGATATAACTTCAGATTTTTACATATAAATGATAAATATTAATAAATTGTTGAGAGAATAACAACCTTGTCTATAACACCGGTATCACCACTGAATCTGTTGAGAATTTTACCAACAGGATTGCAGTCGAAGAAAGACACTGGTACCCTAAGTAATCTGGATACAGCTTCTTCGTGTAATTTTCTTCTTGCTTTGGCACCTGTCCATTGACCCGTAGCATTGCACACGAAAGATAGGAATATGAAGCTTATCGAAAGAGTTATGTATACTTCAAAGTAGAATAATGTCTGAAAGCATTTGGAAAAAGATTTTTGATTTTTTTGGTTAGACGAATTATCCTGCGAAGACTAACCGTCACATCCGGATTTTTCTCGGACAAACTATCACTCTCCTGGTCTGTCCATCGACTCAACCAGAGATCCGTGTAAACGCGAAGAACCTGACAAAAAATTGCTACACCTATGTAGATCAGACCAGATATCCAGCCTCCAGCTTTCAGATAATCCACCAGGATCATCCAGGTTACCACTCCGCTTCTATCCTCTTCTTCATCAGTACCATCAATTTCTGTAATCAATAATATTCTAGTATCTTTTCAATATCTTTGTTCTACTTCAATTTAGGTAGAACGTGTACCAACTTCCTTCAATTTCCTCGGTTTCACTGGTTCCTTTCGATTCTACTGATATTAATCGTTTAACAGGTAGATCATGCTCTTGATCTCCATTCGATCTAAATAAGGAAGATACTTAATGAACAATTATAATTAATTAGGATTTATGGAAAGTGTTCATACTTTTTGACATTGTACTGCATGTGTCTATTGGAATTAGGTGGTATCAATCTGTGGAGGGCACTTTTATCTCTGTTTAGAGGTATTTCATCAGGATGTGGACTGACGATTCTATACGATATTAAAATTACTTTAATTAATTACTTTTATCCATCGACAATTTAGGATCTGACTTACCTCCCAGAAAATATCTGTCTTAGGACACTGCTAGGTTGTTCATTATCAAAGGTATTATTTCTTTTCCTGAAAGGAACTTTTCGTTATTCTTTTTTATTTTCTAATGGAAATTACTTACCTGGAGTGAACTATGTGTGCACCCTCAAGGATGGTCGGGGTGCTGCTCTGTCGAAGAACAGGAGGAGGCTGCCTTTGAGGCTGAAGACTGGTGGATCTAACAGCGTTTCTATGCGATTTGAATCGCTTCTTCGATGTATTCCATTCTTCACTGGGCAATGGAAGATCCGTCAGATCGTGGGCTAAGTATCTGGACCCTGAAAGGGTTGCTCGTCGCATTCTAAGTGGAACAAAAGCTGATGGACCCTGATTAAAAAATCACTTCCAATTAAAAATTAACATCATTTCGATATTGAAAGTGTGGAATAATTGAAGGTTGATTTACCACATGAGCGTCTTGATCGGTAATCCAAGACCCACTCTGCTTATTCTTCACGTTGATGCTGATCCTGGATACCAGTCTGATCAGAGACCATCTATCTTTGGCAGTTCTATAAACACGATGTCCATCATTTTTCCTCGTTGTGATGTTCCTCCATTCGTTAGCTAATTCTGGATCAGAATCCTCTATCGATGATTTCGTTCCTACTGCTCGAATTCGTCCACCATCCATGACGATGATCTAAATGATATTCATTATAAACCTGTCTATTTCAGGTGTACATTTATCAGCGTACCTGATGGGTAGTAGATAATAGTTCTAATCGATGGGTAACCATGATCACTGTACGTCCACTTCGAAGGAGCAATTTCCGGATTCCTTGATCAAAGATCTGCTGGCCGACTTGGTGATCCAACGCAGATAATGGATCATCCTAATAATATTGATTAATAATAATATTTCTCGATGAATTAATTAATCAAGATAACTCACCATAACTATGACATTCGCGTCGCTATAAATTGCCCTGGCTATAGTCACCCTCTGCTTCTGTCCACCGCTCAAATTAATCCCCTTTTCACCTATCCTCGTCAGATCGTGTCCCGGAAGTATATCTACATCCGGTTGTAGAGCGCAAGCTTTCAAAACGCTTCGATATCTTCTCGATTTATACGCTGATCCGAAGAGAATGTTGTCTCTCAGTGTCGCATTCAATAGCCATGGTGTTTGTGCAACGTAAGCGATCTTAGAGCCCCTTTGTTCACAAGTAGTTTTTAATAGATACCTGTGCTTAGGTGGAGGATAATATTAGACTTACTTGGCCCACTCGATCGTTCCTGTTGTTCTCTGAATTTCTCCCAACATTCCAAGCAACAGGGTTGTCTTTCCACTGCCAGTTTTTCCGACGATTACAGTCAATTGACCTGGAAATTAAGATTTCTATCTTTCTCAGAATCTGAATTGTTTGATGTTAAATAATATTACCTCGTGGAAAGTTGAGGTGATTTATCAACAACCGACCCTCTTCCGAGCCTAAAGAAAACGAGCAATTTTTCATCCTAAGCACCGGAATTTCCGGATCATTCTCAAACACCGTATCTGCAGAAGAGTCGATGTCTAATTTGTATTTTCTTAAACCACAGGAATTTCCATCTTCTTCGTCTTCTTCGATATCGTCCAAGGATCCAAAAGTTGCAGCATTATGAGGCTTCATTGTTTCCACCTTCAGATAATTCAGATTCACAAGATTTCTAATTTTTTTTTTTTAATTTTCTAATATACTTACAGTGGTGTCGTCGATAGAATTTGTACGAGAATGCAGAGTTTCGAATTTTTCCTCGACAGGATCTGGTAGAACGTTGTCGATTTCTGGAAGCTGAAGAAACTCCTCCATTCTGGTGGTAGAAATCTGAAAGAGGAAACGTTTGGTAGATATATTCATGATTTTGGAAAATTGATTTTATTTACCATTGCATTGATGATGATGGGTATCATCACGGGAAAAATTAGAAGGGGTACAGTGAGCTGGGAAAATAGGGCTAAACTTGCGAATACATTTCCAGCTTCGAGACTTCGTTCTTCTATCCAGAAATAAATGCCGAAAGTGAAAAGTGTCGTGAGTACCGATGATGCGTGAGTAAGAAAATCTAAATGGAATACAGAGACAATTAATATTATTTTACCATTTCATTTATCCGAAACTTGAACTTACTAATGAGAGTCCAATAGAAAGAATCTTTGTCCAACATTCTCAATTCATCGTTCCTTGCTTTTTTTATTTTTCTTTCGAAAATCTTCTCCCAGGCTCTGAGTTTAATTAATTTCACCCCTTGCAAGATTTCGTTCATTAAACGTAACCTGGCGTCGCTCTTTTTCTAAATAAAAAATTCTAGAATTATAAAAATACAATTTTCTTAATAGAGTAATGTAAAAAGAAAAATAAACATTCTTAGTCATACAGCGACTGATTTGAAATTTTCCGACATTCTCTTGCCAAGTATCAATTGCATCGGTGTTACAATGAGTATGCAACATAGTGCACCGATGATTGCACTGATTCCTAACTTCGTGTAGAGAAGGAAAATGATAGCAGTGATCTGAAATCAAAGAGTTAAACTAAAAATAGAGTAAAGGAATTTTATCTCCGAAGAAAATGTTTCAATAATTATTATTTTTGAACCTTCAAGGGGATTGCCCAAGCGTAATGACCGATCCAAAAAAAGCTCATCACGTTATAAACATCTTCTGATATGAGATTTGTCAGAGTCCCGATATCAGCAGACTGCTGACACCTGTCTTGTTCTTTCTCCTTGTCTAATGGATTCTCCTCCTCGTCGATGCTCCACGAACATAGACGCAAAGCCTTATCGTATAGCAACGCCTACAACATTGAATAGAAATAGAAATCCTCAGGGAATATCGTTCTAACGCTTCAAGTGTACCTGAAGAGCAGTTTTCAGGCGGATCCCTTCCACGCAGAGGATATGACTGGATGTCTGGCTCAGAGTACTTTGTAACAGGGCAAAGAAGAAAATCAGCAGGCCCAAGAAATAACCATTTTGTATAATTTCAGAGAACGTCATGGCACTCTAAAATATTTGTATCATTAGTAATTCTTGATGAGAACGATGGGAATAATAAAGAAACACGAACATTTGATATAACAGGTACAGAATTCGTTGTTCCATTTTGAGAAATAGAAACATAGTCCAAAATTTTGGAAATTGTCATTGGAGCAACTAGGGTTGTAGCATCCCCTAATAATTTTAAGAAACCCCCGATTGCAAAGGGGTACCATATTCTTTTCCAGAAACATCGCCAGAGAGACAGTTTCCTTTTTCTTTCCTATAAAAAAATATTAAAATATTGAAATATTATTTTTATTCCTAACGGAGCTTTGGGTTACCCTTTGCTCTTCGTAAATCTTTCGAAACTTGTTAAATTGTTTCTCAGCAGTTTCCTCTTCAGGAAGTTGACCAAGATCTTGAGCATCTAAAGATCTACTATAACCTTTGGATAACAGGTCGATCACCCAGTGGAAGGTGATTCTACCGAGAAAAGGTGCCTCGGAATGTTTGTAGACGATCCTTCTGTTACCCGTTCGTTCGATCAAGTACCTCTTCCTCTTCCTCGTCTAAAACCAGGTGAAAATCGTAGTTCACTTATTTGCGGCGACGCGCTAAGGCGATCTATTTGCATGCACAAGGGAGGTACGGTTGTTTTTACTGGGTCAAGGAGGTGGTATGCATGTGAAATATATTTCGAGCGAATGCAGCTATCTCGTGTTACCGGATATCGAAGAGCAGCCACTTGTCTTCTTGCTTTACAGGGGGTGCGTTCTTTGAATTTTTCCTTCAACCCTCTGTGCGCTCGTACAGAAATTTCTATAGTAAATTATAAACTTTCTTTCTCAATTCATTTCACCGTGAACCGTTTTACGTTACAGAAAGTCAGAAATTAAATAACGGAGTGTACAACCTATTTTCGCGATCGTTAGTTCACATGATCGATGGAAAAAGTTGGCGCAACACGCTCGATAAGCTCGACTCTTGCCGGACTATGATAATAAACATTATTATTCAAACAAGCTGAGTAAATGTAAAACAAATGTTTGCACTAGGTGGAGTATCTGGCTCTCCTCGATAACGTTGTAACACTTTGTCGCTAATTCACGGATCGATAATTTTAGTCACCTTTACCATCGATAGTTTAATTAACAATTTATATGGGAAAAATTTCCATAAACCTTACCGTAAGATAAAGGGTGTAAGAATCCAAAATAGCGAACGTTCCGCAGAGAATGGCGGTGATTGCTGTTGTCGTGAATCGAACGTGTTCGATCGACAAACCGTACCTAAGTATATTTAAGAAATAATTTTCATTTAAGGAACAACTACAATAATTTGTTAATAAAACATACCTAGATAAATATGTAAATTTCCATGCTCTTGATAAACCGATGGTGGCAAAAATTGCAGCAGTGAACACAGTTCCAAAACCATCTCTAATTTCGGTTGCTCGATGAAGGAACCAACAGGAGAGGATAGCCAGGATCGTGAGGATCGACGATAAGGAAATTAATGTTAAAAATGACTCGCAGACTTCGAAGAAAAGCATCACGAGCAAAGATATACACAGGAGTGTTCTGGTTACATGAAATGGAAGAAGTCTTCTGGCATCTCTAATCCAACAGAAAGAGATTTTAATTCTAGTAAGAAGGAAGAAGTTATTGTACTAATCATAAATTTGGTTTGGTAATGATCTATGTAGATTAACAACTTTTTCATTAAATATATTAAAAATGATTAAAATTTCCAATTACCAGAAAACAAGTTTTTCCTCCTCAAAACCAGCGTCCACTAAAAACAAGGAATCATCGATCCAATCTATTTCTCCTATATCTAACATGCTAATAAACAAGTCAACTATCGAACTGATTACTCGTTAATTACACCGTTCATCGAACGGCAGTTTGATTTTTATATTAGTAGTTAAGGTGGAAATTAATCGAGTTTCTTCTTGAACGATGCCACTCAACTTCAGCTGATTCGATCAAGGAATTCCGGTTGGATAATTCAGGAATCTGATCGATTTTCAAGGAATAGCTATGAATTTTCCGGGGATCGAACGAGAGTAAATCGCGTGGGAGTTAGTTTATTTGGGTTCATTGAAATTCTTCGAACACCGTGACGTAAACCAAGAAAGAACACGTAAGTGTACGAGCATCCTAAGAGTAGCACGTGTCATGAATTATTCCGACAATTAATCCGAGCCCTCCAGAGACCCGGTTAATCCCTGTTTCTTGGTAGTTTTCGCGGTGAATGGGAATACTAATATTTCCACATCGGACCACGACTCTTGGATTTTGTTTTCCTTTGAAATTCTACGTGTTGAGATTTTGAACTTGACCTGATTCGAAAAATTTCGACTGACATGTTTGTTACGGTTTCAATTCATGGAATAATAAAGTCTGAAAAACAGCATGGAACATTTACAGTTCCGTCATTCTACGAAGAAGAGTGCGTTAATGTTTAACAGGGATAAATAATCGAATTCTCAGGAAAGGATTCTTCAGAGATATTTGTTCTTCCATATTTTCCTACCGATAATGATCAAAAGTAATCAAAGGTTGATTAGAAAGACTAATATACATAAATCATGTGACAATTGTATGTACAAAGGTTTAAACAGAGGCGAAGAAATTAACAGCGTTGATCAATTTTTTACCACGTTAATTGAAACAAATTGTTTCGAATGGAACGTAACCCTCCTCTGAATCATGGGGGATCCCAAATGTGAAACACTGTTTTAATTGGACGTTGTCCTAATTGAACCAGCCTGGGGCACCCAACGGTCGTTTCTTTTTATTATAAATTAAATGGTAACAAATCTCTATTTTTCCTTTCTCTCGATCAACCTTATCGTTTTGATTCTGACTTGCAAAAATACTTTCGATTATTATTATCTAAACAAATCATTTTGAAAATTAATTCTCTAGAAATCAGTTTCAATTATCATTATCTACTGCAAATATTTGATAATTTGATCTTTTGACAATTCTTTCACTAGAAAAATCATAGAAAAATGATATTTCCTAAAACATTGAATATCAGAACGGATATCTTCTGAAATTGAGAATGGAAATCAATCTGATAGAAAGTTGCTTTTGAATGGATTTTTCTAAATCATGGTTATCGATCAAAGTGAGTTTCGCCGATCGATCAAACATCGTATCATGACACTGAAATCTCATTCAACTTTTATATTTTCTTTTAACAACTTACTTTTGCTGTTTGCTGCATTTGTATCTCAATGTTGCGATCACAGCAACAAGGATAGCGATCACAGGAACAGAAATGTTAACGATTTCTATCAAACAATCCTCGTTGGATTCGTTCTCAGTGAACCGGAAGATCGTACCGTTTTCCGTTCGCCAGCTCCAAGTGATACGTCTTCCGGAATTTCGGAGTACGTGTAAAAATTTGTAACTCTTGCACAACTCCATTTTACGTTTATTTTATTGCAAAATATTTTCAATGATTTTTTGCTCCATCTTTTTGGTAATCAACTGAAAATATTTTTCATTTATTTTTTAGAATTATAGAAACATAGAAATACAAAACACTTGCAAAGATTTCCATTCGCGAAGGCAAGCTCTTACGTGCAGTATAAATTGTTTAATCTTCGCGAGATGGGTTTTGGAGACCAGGAATAGAGTGTTTGTTTTCGCTATTTCCTATTTGACGTCACGATAGGTATATTTCACAATCCCGAAGAACGCTCTTCTCGTTTTTCGACAACGTGTTTCAAGTTCACTAAAAATACTCTTACGCTTGGATAAGTTCCGATACGTTTGATAAAAATGCGAGCGTGTTTTCATTGAATAAATATGCCTCTTTCGTGAAAGAAAAGAAGAAACCTTGCAACTTTAATATATTTTAAAAAGAAAAACAATGTATTTAACGAGGCGTCAGCTTAGCGACAGTAATCTTATGTCAACATGAAAACGTTATTATCGCTGCAATTATTGGTAAAAAATGAACTGAAATTCGTAAAAGCGAGCCAGAGATATGCTAAGTTCTAAGACAAAGCAATAACACTTACGTGTCCATTGTCGAAATTCTTCGACGCTACTCGTTATCATAATTTATGCGTTAACTTTGTTATGTCATCGTTCGGTTTTCTTTTGTAACATCACTTTCGCGATTCATGAATGTTCATTTAAATCCAATATCTATAAATCTTTCAAATAGATCACTTCCTTTCATCCATGAATCAATTTCAGCCTGGATAGGAAACCGATTATGAATTCGTGATCTTTAGACACCGTAATCGGTGAATGTAATCAATATTCTATTGCACGAATCTTTACGTCATCCTAAGAATCATTCCTATTGTTCTTCTACCATGATCACGATGGGAATTTTGAAGGTAATACTCTGAGTGATCAATTAGCATTTCACTACCATGAATTATTGCAAGTCTAGATTTCAGCCTCTAAAATTAAAAAATATATTATAAATGGTATTATATGTTATTTAATCGCAAAATAAATATTTGTTTCATTCATAAAAATTCTGAAGTTTACCAAATTCCCTGGCAAAACGAATGACACTTAATTTTTAAGAACAATACTAAATTAATTTAAAAAGAAAATTAATAAAATCACGTATTATAAATTACTTCGTTACTACATCAAGATCGCATAAGATTCTTCTGAATGTAAATCACTTTCGGGAATTTTGAACAGACGCTTCACGCACGTGCGCGTTGACTCGATCAGAGAAAGGAATAAACCTCCTTTCCGCTTGACGGTCCGCGGACTACTGACAGATCAGAGAACGTTGAACATAGCGAATGGTAATTTCATGTGTACCGATGAGTCATTGGTAAAAAAGAAAAAGAAAAAGATCATGATGCCGCTGGCAAAGCAACAGGCTCTTCTTTCACCGGAAACGTAAGCACGTCCTAGAAACGCGGATTCTTTCGAGCGGCACTTGGCTTCGATTCTTTTTCCATTTCTTATGACCAAGAAGAATTTAACCCGAGGGTGAAACAGTGACGAAGACACATTGGTTATATCATAAATGACACGTTGCGTTAAGGATCTTTAATTAAAAAAAAAAAAAAAAAAACAATTAAATTAAGATCTTTGCTTTCGGTATTACAAGATTTGCAATTAAAAAATGTTGCATTATTTTTCTATTTCAATTTTAGGAATCTACAATTTTTCTATCCTCCTTTACTTTGTTACAAAAGATGGAAAGAAGAATAGAAAAAACGGTGATGGTTTATTTGAAAAATATTTAATAATAAACATTGACAATATACAGAGAAAATACGCCATAAGAAGTCGCTATGGGAGTAATAAGAACCTAACAACTGGTCCAGACTTACAAAATATCATCAAATCAGACAATGATAAAGGTGTTCCGTTATGACACCCCGTGTGTACTCCTATCATCAGTATTATTCTTTTTTTTTTTTTTATTCTTTTTCTTTTTTTGCAAACTAAAGTTATCTCGAGTTGATCGTATTCTCGTTCTCTCGTGTATGCACCTGAACGTTTCTTGCTTTCCTTGCGATTTTCCTTTCGAATTAACATCATCCCTGTGTCTGTTCTCGCGTATAATATTTACCGTAAATCGCTTACGTTTTATCCTGAAGAGGTAGTCTCGCAATCGGAAACCAAGAAAAACGATTTCCCACAGGGCCCACCCGTTGCGAATCCGTTTACATCGGCGAGAGAAGCGAAGAAACAGGTGGCATTTAGCTGCTTACGATGTTCTCTATTCCTTTTTTTGTATTTTATCATTTTTTCATCTCAATATTCCCCCTCCAACCTTTATTACTACCTTTCATTATTATTCTTTTAACCCTTCCCCCATGTGTCTCAACGAATCGCTTCATTTTAATCAATTTTACTCCTCCGATCGTTCTCCAAAGGTTCTCGTATTACAATGAATAAAATCGTGAATAAATCGGAGACCTCGGAGAACATTCTTTCCATGACGATTCGAAGAGGATCGATTACATCTTTCATCAAGTACAATACACGGACGCATCCCCCGTATCATCCACGCACGCATCACTAACAATTTACGACTTATTAACGCCCTAATGTCATGGAACATCCCTTATTTTTCTTTTACTAGGCGTCGCCTAGTACGCTAGGATATGTTGCTCGTAAAGATGTGTCGTTTTTTTTTTTTTTTTTTCCACGTAAGTCATGTAAGTCATCTAGATTTACTTTTTTTTTTTTTAAAAATCCCGTTTACGGTACTGCTTTATAATAATTAATATATATCTCATATCATCGTATATTTATATGTATGTATAACGTTACGGTGCGTATCGGTCGTTATTGGATTATCTTACAATGCGAATTACCGCCAGCCGCTGGATTCGAATAAACGCGGGGAAATAAAAAATACGCGCGAAATTCAATAAGTGTTTCTTTCTTTTTTTTTTTCTTCTATTGAAAAGATTTTGATGTTTAAAGAGGACGCATCCAAACGACTGACGAACCAATCGAGCACGTTACAATCACGCATTTTGTACAATTAATTCTTGCTCGCTCAAGAAGAGAGAAGAAACTTGTTGTGCGCTGTTCAGACGCACCAAAAATCGATAGACGATAAACACGCGAAGCACTTGAACGAATTTATATCATAAATAAGCTGATCGCTAGTTAATCGAGAGGACTGGTATCTGACTTTTTCTAAGATTCAGAAACAGACGCTATTTTCTCTAATCTCTAATCCGTACCTGGCTAGACTCTAAGTTTCTCGAACGTTCCTTTGTACAGAATTCATCGGGTTATCCGTCGACTTTACTTGTTCTTTTGCCTTTTGATCCATGTACGGGGTGTTTCGTAAATTCATCAAACTTTGAATGTGCTTAGCTGGAGAAATCATTTTTTTTTCATAGCGAATGCGAATATAATAGTAAATATTTTTCTTATGGATAAGAACGTAACGATTTTTAGAAAAATATAGTAAATTGAATAGTCATCTTTTACGAAACACCCTACGTAAAATATTACAATATTCGAATGAAATGAACAATTAAATATGATAGAGATTTCGAGCGTATGGTCAGTCGGTTCGACGCGCAGCCGGAATGAATAAAAAGAAAAGAAATGGCAAAGAAAGCAAAGAAGATCGAAGACACAGTCGAAAATCATTGATAGGCCTGCGTACGGAATCGGAGAACACGCTGAAAGAACGATATCAAGAGTCAAGGAACAAGAAGAGGAGGAATCAATGGGGGAGGAGGGAAGTTGTGCACTCGTGACGAAGAATAAGACGATGGGTTCTCGCCTAGATTTGAGCTTCACTTACGCTAGCCACTAGTTGTAATAGCCTACCGATAAAGGTATTACGAGTAAAGTATAAATTGTAATTACAGTGTACAATATACAGGGATAGATCGTTCGTCCGATTTATTCGTTCCAACACCCTCGTTCCGCTAGGACGAACCATCTTGGCGTATCATTTCCAATATCAATATTATCCTCGAGCACTTACGTATAAGAAAAGAAAGCATTCGATCGAAGAAGAACGATGGTGTAGAACGAATGACGAGAGAAAAGGGTTGAGCCATCTTGATCAGTTGCAAAAGTAGAGGGCTAAAAACCATAACTATTTTTCTACCAACACGTCTCCGTTTTCATTGATCAATTTTTATTAAAAAAAAAATGTTTCTGTAACTCGGAAATAAATTTTCAGAAATGCGATGCTTTCTTTGGACTGATCAAGATGACACGACCCCTTAAGTTCAAAGAATTCCAAGAATCATCATCGATCATTTTATCCCAGCTTCCTCGCATTGGGATTGCAATTAATCACTAGTATCTTTCCTCTTCCGTTTACGGTCATTTGTAGTTTGCATTAAAATCTACGCTCGTTAATTTAAACGTTACAAGAATCATGAGTATGTCTGAGAATTGTTCGGCTTAGCTCTTAAAACAAGTTTTGTGCTGGTCGAAATCGTTTCATCGATCCCAAATTCATATTTACATGTACTGGCGCTCGCACACGCAAAACGAGAAAAAAAAACCATGAGAGTATGATTATTTTTATTTTTTATATCCTTTCACTGTCTCTTTTCCTAGCCTATATATGTAACTATCCTAGCGATAGATTTACGAGTTAAAACGTATATAACCGATGACAGTGAACTAATCTGTCACGAACTATCTACGTAGAAAAGAAGAACGAACAGAAAAGAAAAAGAAAATAAAAAGTTGTGAAGAACATCTTTGTCATATTTGGCTATTTCACACACGACTCTTTTGTTGTGTAATTTTCCTCCTCTTACTCTTCCTTTTCATTTTCCAACCCCCCCGCCCCCAACGTTTTGTCACCTTCTTTTTCATTCCCGCCTCTCTGTTCTTTCTCGCACGCATTCTTTTTCATTCACACCTTTCCCCATTTATGCTTTCACATCGAATCATGCAACCACTTATCTATATATATATATATATATTTATATATATATATTTATTCATTTATTCTATGTATATGTTTATTACGATAAATCTCCACTTAACTAGAACTTGTAACAGGGATTATTACTCACTCGGCTCAATGTGCGTACCATTTTCCCTTTTGCGTTTAACCCCCTGTTTCGGAGTACTTTATTCTTATGTCTCTCCGTGTGTGTATGTGTGTTGTTACTCGATTTTGCGAATCGTCAATGTGAAAGAAATTAACATGACCGATTTTCGTTACGTAGAAAGGGTAATCGTGGTGATCGAGAACGCGGTATCGAATCGAGGAACTTTAATTTTTGGACGAACCACCTGGGGGGTTGGTCCTTTAACCCTCCTTTGGATTAAACTTTCATTAATGTTGCAAGAGAAATTTAAATAATCGCTTGGGAAATTCAAAGAAGGGTTAAAATGAAAAATAAATCAGTCCATGGATAGAGAGAATTAAAGACTATTGTGCGAGGAACGTGAAGAATATTTCATGATTGAGTTTATCGAAGGTACAAGCGTTCTCGATCATTAGATTTGAGCTTCGTTAGGAATTTAATGAAATTCTACCATAGTTCTGGACGAAAATTATGGATAGCATAGGGATGATTTTTTTTTTGGTAGAGAAATTGGAATATTTGATTCAATATCTTGGATGGAGATTGTTTCTTTACAATTGCTGTGATTCTTTTTTATTATATCACAATTCCAACTCCTCCACCAAAAGCGATAAAAAAAAATAAGAGAGCAAAGAATCCCCGTCCAACTTGCTTCAACCTACAACTACGAAATTTGTTCAAATATATTCCTAAATAATCTTGATCACTGATTAAAGAAAATGCTGCCTCGTTCTACTTTCTATTGAAGCATGGACAAGATTACGAGTATTTAAAGAGGTTGCTTTGCCATAATCTTCATTAGAAATTAGTAGAAACACTTTTGACTAGATTCTATCTGTCAGAATCTGGCTGTATTGGCTCTGTTCAGGGTTCTCTCCTACTATTCTATGGTCATGGTTCGATTTTCAAATTTACTCATAAACACACATATACCCACACACACGCATACACTTATTTGGCATAGAAACCCTACCGGACACGCGTAACTGCCTCGCCGCTCTCGTCGCCTCTCTCTTGGCTACCTAACTAAACAAAAGAAGAAAACGAACGAAATGGTCTATCGTCTGTCGTGGGTCACCGATTATATCGACTAGTTGTACCCGGAAGTTCATCCAGTCGATACGAAAGAAGAGTTCCCTTTCCGGCAGCCATTTGCGACAACTTTCAATTCTCCCTGACTTGACCGTACACATCCGGTTTCTGTCTGAGAAAGTTCGACGAGTGGCTCGAGCGATCATTGATTTCTAAAGAAAAATAACGAATTAAAGTGATATATAAAAAAAAAAAATAAAATAGAAAATTATGAACAACTGGCTCGTATTCGAGACTCATATTCGCATATATCCGCTTCCCGATTTAATGAAATCAAATGAATTATGTACAAAATTCATCGTGTACAATTGTTTTTTTTTTTTATTACAGAGCTTTTCTTTATATGCAATTTAAAATGTACTCGCGATAAAACTTACCCCGAAACGCGTCTAAAAGTTACCTCCAACGAGACGTGCACGAGCAACGAATTGCATAATTACAATTGATTTCTAAAGAGATCAATTACCTATATCTATCTATCTACCTATTATATTTATATATATATATATATATGTATATACACACGTATATATACACGTACACCGGCTATATTCCATATATTCCTCCCTCCCTTTTTAAATATGAAATGGCTGCCGGTTTCGAACTCGAGACGAACAAGTCTGACGACGCGATGCCACGCTCCTTCGGAATTCCCATCGAACACTTCGAAAACGTTTCAAAACGAACCCTATCCGACTCTAATTGTTGCATTTACCTATTAACACCTCGATGGCCGTGTAATTTATAAATTTTGTTACCTTTAATAACTACACTCCAACGAGACGAGACAGTAAATGCGTAGAAATTCACGTGCTCGAAGCAGGCTCGGCTCGCAGTACACAAACCTCGACCGGAACGTTTGAAGAACTGAAAACAACTGAGCTATGACCCTGCGTCGAGCGCGCGAATTTGTAAACATACACTGACTCGTCTCGTTGAACGGATTATAAAAATTAATTATTCTCGAATAGCTTGTAAACTTGTAATATTACTATTATAATAAATGTTTAAAATTGAAAACGGGAGTTTTGAAATTTGGAAAACACCTACCCCTATTCCTAATAATCAGAGCTGCAATATATGATATAAAAAAATTGTTCTATTCTCACAGGGTTAAAGTGGCAAATGTTCTAGCCATCAAAGGGTTAACAGTATTCTTTCTCTAATGGAAGCAGGATGTTCGAATGTTTAGCATGTTCGAAAAGCTGAAATTCGATTTAACCGGTCCTCTTTGTCCCAGTAATTCGGTTTATCAATTTCCTCGTCTCTCCGCGTTTACCTCCCTCGATTATCGATCAGACAGGCCTGCCTTTCGAAACTTTGACGACGTTTCGAGCAAGCCTTTGTGTCATGTGGTTCGCAACCCCTGCCGAAAACTATCTCCAACTCCGAGCACGCTTTAAATCCATTCAAATTCAAAGCGTTCTTCGTATTATTCCAATTCCTTTGATCTTCCTGTTGCTTGTCGAACGCGTTCCCTTATTTTTCTTCCAATTGCCGGGAGACTCCTTTGTTCGTCATCCTTCGTCAACAATAGTAATCGTTTTGCCCGTTTTCGAATCTGTTCGAGCTGTGACTTAATCTGGATTTTTCTTTTTTTTTTTTTCGACAATCATTTTTGTTTACAGAGAGTCATTTTTCTTTTTTGTTTCACGTCGAGAGCCACGTTGGTGCTAGCGTCAGCATGCGCGGAGAATCCAGGCATCGCTTCGTGGGAGGATCATGATCGATGGCGGATGAGGATGATGATTGTGTCGATTTATTCTGGTCATGTTTAGCTGAGTATAACGGTGTACTCTTGGAAGGCTCGTGCCTCGTTATCCTTCGAATCTTAATACGGCGTGAACCTGTTGTATCCACCCCTGTACACTGTCGCCTGAAAACAGACATTCAGTTTGTTAGTTAGAGGGAACCTGGAAACTTGAAAACCAAAGGATCAGGAAAAGAAACAGGAGTCTTATTTACCCCATAGCCGGCTACTGGTCCAATACCATGTCCAAGGTAGGGATCGGCGTATTCACGCCCGTAACTGGAAAGAGCAATGAATCAACATATTAAAATTTCATTTATTATATGAATCGTTTTAATGCACATAAATACAGTAGAAATGCATAAAGGTTTTCGTGTAACATGCACAAAATAGGATAATAAGACAAAAGGAGATACAAACGTTAGGACATGTCTCTATAGGTTTATAAAGGACTATCGGGGTTTTCGATAGGACTATCAAGGTGCATCTGGGTATCGGCGTATCTGCGACTTCTGATGACTCGACCACGTCGACCTGTTTGTCTGTAAGTAATGGACTTTTTATGTACATCTGTAGTATATTTTAATCATCCAATCACTGAAATTAATTAGCCCCTTACGGTACGAAATATTTATTTTCATCTGGAATACATTTTTAATGTTAGCATATCACTCAAGTGCAATGTAGACTTCTCTTAATTAAGTGTGCTTCTAGTCTTTGTAGAACCAGGAAGGGCCTAATGATTAAAGGAAACCTAAGGAAATTTAGTTTCTCTTAAACAGAAATTTGTTTAATTTCAAAATAATCTAGGTACATTTAATTCCCTCTTTCTTCTCGAGTATCAAAGTCTGCATATTATTTGTAGACTTATTGAAAAGACAGGACCGTAAGAGGCTGGCTAAAAGAAAAGTACAGAAAGTGAAGAACGAGGGATAAAAGCGAAAGGAGAGGTTGTACGACGAAGGGAAGCGAGAGTGGTGCTTACCCCGCGACTGCGGCATATCCTGCGACCGGTTGTGCCGCAGCTGCAGCTGCGCCGTATGCGCGCGCAGCTACTGCCGTGTAGGTCGCTGCAGCTGCGTAGGTGGCCTGCTGGGCCGTCGAGAGGGGTGTCTTCAGCAATGGTGACGCTGCAGCTGCTGCTGCCGCGGCCTGAAACACGAACCATGACCCGCCATGCAAGGCTCAAGCAAGCTCCAAGACAGACCAGACAAGGGTGTCCTAGCTGGAAGGATAACGCTACCATACGCGCCCTCTTCCACTTTCCGAAAAGGTCCTTGCACGTTTAAGAGAAATTGCAATTGAAAGGATATGATCCAAGGTCGAAAGAGCTTTCGTTCGTATACGGAGGGTTAATTGGAGACTGATAAATGACTGCTTCGATGGTCAGTTGGGGTATTTAATAAGAGACGTTATTCAGGTATTTAGGATGGTAAGGAATTCGTGTTCCTCAAGTTTCAGGATCTTCATACTAGAAGGGTCAATTAGAAACTAATTAGACACTTTAACGGTCAGTTAGGTATGTTAAGGAGCTTGTGTTCCTTAAGTTTCAGAATCTTAAGACTGGAAGGGTGGAATGGAAATTTAATGGACGCTTTGATGGTCAGTTGGGTTACTTAACCAGAGATGATTGATGTGGTACAAATTGGGGTATCAAGGATGTTGGAACAGAAATTTTTATGATATTGTGCAGGGGTCGAAAATGGCAATAATTTCGACTACTCTAAATTTCTACTTTTTATTCCATTTCTTTTTTATCATGTCGTGCAAGGACCCTTAGAAACGCGTTTGTACGGTACATCGACGAAACAGCGACGTATTCAACCCTCTAAAATTTCATTTATTTTTTTTGTTCGCAAAATTGACGAAACTTTGATACTTGGAACGATACTCGGGAGTCCGCACGCGTTGTTTCGTCGACGCACGATGGTGTGCAGGTAATTAAAAAGTTTCGAGCACTCAGCTAAAATGTGGTTTCTCGAAGCTACTGTTTGTTGTTCGATCAAAAAAAAAGCATCAGGAGAATGTGCTTTATGTACAAAAGATGATGCGGAAATGATACAGTTTGCTCGTTAATATTCATTCATCGGTTCATTGACGATGATATTTCATGTGTGGTTAGCTACTAAAGGCACAAAGAACGCGTGTGTTGAAGAACGTTAAAAAAAAAAAAAAAACTATCACATCCCTTCATTTATCTTGTCTATGTTCAACAATGAGAGAGAATCGTTGAATAAAACCTTCTACACGATGGGAAATGGCGAAGAAACAGTTACACAGGATTACAGGGAAATTCGCGTACAAAGGGAAGGGAAATTAGATACGAAGAGCAATTTAGCGGCGAGATGATAACCGCTTAAGATAAGTCCCGAACGTGGAAAGCATCGATGTTCATGTCGAGATTAAGATATATCCCTGGAGGATACCATTTATTGTGGAAAGGAAACGCGAAATCTACGTGCATGCATCTACGGTGCAATTGTATCAGCTAAAAGATATCTTTTTCGTTTATCGTATCACGCTACACCAAGAATTTTTTCTTCTCCAACATTTCAGGCAACTCTTTTGCAAAGGAGAATCCTTGAATTCTAGCGATTTTCACGGGATTACGAATTGAAACGGGGCTGAACTGTGTCACCTACCCTGCAGAACACTGAAGAACGCCGAAATTAAAGTTACCTTTTTACTCCGTCGCTGGTTTTATTAAACCTCTCCCTAATCCCGAAATTACATTATCCCGGAGTAAGAAAGCCTTTCGCGAACGAAATCCTCGCAATCGACTTCGCGGAGAAATGTGGAAAATTGCTTGAGAAATCTGGTGATATCAAGGTGAAGAGGATATTTTATAGAGTACTTCTTTTCACGATGCTCTATGGTAAAGAAAGGGCTGATGTTGCGAGGGATAATTAGCCAGATGGCTGAATTAATGCAAATTAAATCTCTTTATCGTGGTCGTGCTTCAAGATTAAACCAGCTCTGGAGAATTACTAAGAAAAAAAAGAAACTCGCATGGATATTTTCTTCAGAGCAATCAGAGAATCCTAAGAATTTTGCGAAATACAGAGTAATTTTTTCGTGAGCTGTCTTACAAAATGTTTCTTCGACTGTGAAAAGCTTTCTTCCGGAACAAGGAAACATTTTTCAGAAGGAAATGATTAATGATTTCCTTCCCTAGGAAATTCGTTTTCTTTTTCTCTTGTCAAGTATCGAGCAATCTTTCCATATATCGTTGTGCAATGATCAAGATTACGATCGCTAAAGGAAATTTTAAATAAAAATAAAATCTTTGAAAGTCTTTTACACGTGATAGTCAATTTCAGCGTGGTTAAAAAGCACTCTTCCAGTAGGGGTCAATTAACTCTCGGTTATTTTACCGAGAGGACGGAAGAACGGAAGCTACCGTTACAGCGTCTATCCTGTCGCTTCCTCCTGATATCGTTTCCCTTTTTTTCCACCGTATTTCCGGCTCCTTCGTGCGGGCAAGCTCTACCGTGAAATGGTGAAACCGCAACGCGGATCCCTGCGTTTACACCGGCTCGCTTCACGGGTCAGATGTTACGCTAACGATCTCCCCTCGACTTCGTAACCTTTCGTCGACGGCAACGAAAACGTGACTCGATAATTGCTCTCTTTCGTACTGCGTCCGTTGGTGTTCCACCAATTTTCCGATTCGTTCGAGCGAAAAAGGAAATTAAAGCCGAAGAATCGCGATGGCTTAGAAAAGAACTTCGATTAAAATACGATGCCCTCGATAAAAATAAAAAAATCGGGACAGAAATTAGCACAAGAACGGGACACCCTTAAAAAAGGGGAGTTAATCTTTTTTACCGGAAGATAAAATCGTTAACGAGGCGCATCGAAGACGGAAGCGGCACGAAATACCCGGAATGAAGCTGTCGGACGCGCGAAATGACGCGACGTTGATTTATGAAGGCTTACGATGGCTCGTACAGTTTCCACGGCTTGCTAGATAGTTCCCAGGGAGCTCGTAAATTCACCGGGAGGAACTACGTGGCCAGTTTCGTGTGCCGGGTCAAGACAAGCCTCGAACCGGAAGAGGGATTCGAGCCGGTGGTGCGAGTTCGCGCGGAAATTAGACGCGGAAAATTCCGTGGTCTCGATTCGATGCACGTGCTACCTCAGGAAATTTATGACATTATGTTTCACCTTCGTATCTATCGTAAATTGCTTCAACAGTTCATATCAGATATATACTTTATCCATGAATAAATGATTTTTTTCCTTCATTCCACGATGATTGATTATCATGGATAATTAATTTCTCGTATAACTTTCGAACTTCGAGCTGCGGTTTTCCTGGTTATAATAAGTTTCGAGGTAATTTCATAAGCAAACTTACGCTCGCCGCTAATTACTCAACGCTTGCCGATGTACACTTGCGTGCATCGATGGTTTTCTTCGATTCAAAGAAGGATCCGCCTACTATTCGTTTGATTGGCTCTCGTGACTCGGGTGAAAGGTAGGAGGCGTGGTTAAATTGCCGACGCGAGTCGAACTCTGCCGAAACAGAGCGAATGGTAAAAGGTTCTTTTCTCTACTCCTCCACTTAATCGAGAAAAACTATCTATGCACGCGATCGTACTCACGGTCTAAAGCCTAAGTTATATTGGTATACCGATGTAACTAAAGCTTAAGACCTAGTGTTTAGGCGAGATCTGGATTAGGTTGCCGACGGAACTAATTCCATAGAAGGGTGAATCTGCCGCCGAAAGAGTGAAAGGGGCGAGAATTAAGAGCAATTCTAAACTAACTAAACAACTTTCTCTAAAATACTCAACCGAGTGCTCAACGATCGCTGTACTTTTCTGAATCTTCGTGTCAGTTGACGATAAAGAAAAGAAATCGGAATAGAAGAAGAGAATCTGTAGGATGTTGCGATTAAGAATCTTCTTCTCAATGAAAATTACCTGCTCTTAAAAATACGGTCGCGTTTCTCTACTTGAAAGCGATCAATTGAAAGTTGGAAACAAAATAAAAGAAATACCGAAAAAAATCACTCTCTAACAGTATCAAGTAAAAACGAAAAAGGAGATGAAACAAAATACTACCAATTGCATGCTGTTTACAACCGTCGCAAAGAACACACTCGGGAAACGAAAAAAGCGTAGAACAGAGGAAGCGTATATAAATATAGAACTGCAACGACACCGCAGTTTATTACTGTAAAGGGTAAACAGACCAAGAGTAATAATAAAAATGAAATATTTAACGAAGGAAGAAAAGAAAAGTATGTATAATAGATGATCAGGCAAATCTCGACGATCGGTGAGCACTCCTGGTTGGCTGGTTCGAACAAGAAACCAGCAAGAAGACAGGAGAATAAATAGAGGTAATAATAAAAAAAGGGGTGTTGGGGGATAAAAAACAGACAAACAACGGGCGAAGAAAATTCACGGGCGGACCCTTAAAATTCCTACCTCCAGGGCGGGTGCTTTAGCCTGAAACACAAACGGCATACCTGAAAAGAAATTCGGCCAGATCGTGTGGGGTGCGGGAATTAGAGGGTTCGTGTGTTTCTTACAGTCATGATTTATGTTACCTTTCATTTTCTCTCTGGACACGGGTAGATTTATTGTGTATTGATTTGAAGGTAAGGAAATATCGAAGGGGTGAGAAAAGAAGGGCGCGAATGATTAGGCGACAAAATGCAACAAGATGCTGCATGATTTTGTGATGCAACAGGGTGCACAATGAACGTTAGAAAGGTAGACGTTCCCTTGAATTTTAAAAATAATGTACATATATTTCTGTTTCAAGTACAGGTATTAATAAATAAAAAATCAAGGAAACGTCATTTGTTAAAATAGAAATGGTAGAGGATTTTGTTGAAATTGAATGAAAATTTATGTGTAACAGATTGAACGTGTGAAAACAAACAGTAGGGTATCTCAGAGAACCATTATTCGCAATAATTGCAAAAGAACAGAGTTTGTTCACAAAATTTAAATATGCTCGCAAATTTCCTATTAAACTTTTGGTGCATTTCATTTCCGGCGTGACACGAGGTCGAAACACGAGAACACCCCTTGAAATGAACGCGGTACGTTCGAAATTAATTTTCATTCCGACTAAAAGGTGAATCGAGCATAGCGGGATGTCGGACGAGGCTGATAAAAACGATAGCTGTCGTTACTTCTCTCTGTTTCCCTATGTCTCTGCTCTTTTGCAATTCTTTCCTTCTTTTTTCGACCGCTCGAACGAGAGATTCACCGGGAATGTTTTCGTGAAACTCGCGGAGGGGTGCAAAAAAAAAGAGAGGAAAGGGAGGAAAAACGGACGAACAGACGGGCGAGAGTGACGACAGATGAAAGAACGTAGAAACGAGATAGGAATGGCGTTAATTGTTATCGGTCTCTCTGCGTTTCACGTGTGTGCAAGCCTGGAAAAACGTGTCAACTAACGTCAGCTGTTGCTTGAGGCCATTCCAGCTAAACGGGTCCGGAACAGTAGCAGACTTTAGTCAATATTTCTCTGCCTTCTTTTCTCTTTGCTGTATGTTTCTTTTTTCTCTTCTATATCTTTTCTTCTCGTTAATTTCGCTTACGTTCGTTTCGTTTTCTGAACGCAGCGTGCTCTGTTCCCTTAGCTACTGAGCGTCGATTTGCGATGCTTCTTGAAATTAGGTCAAGTATCTTTATTCGTTCCCCTGTTAAAACTTATCCGATCCTGTTTTGCTTTCGTACTATTACTAACAGACATTATATAAATTAATTAACCACAAAGTTTTGAACGTGGGAAGCTTCTCCACTTAGAATTTAAACTTCGAAATTCGTAATTCAATAATGAAATTTTATATGAAATCCAAGCAATGATCGAACCAGTTCGTTTACTGTACCTGGAAAGGTGATCGATTGAACGCGTCGACGTTTCAATCTAGTAGTTCTATTTAATTAAAAACTCATTCGTCGTCGGTTCGCTTTTCGGAAACAGAGCACTGGTGACAATTTTCGGCGGGAAATCAAGTAAATGCTGTGCCTCACCTGTAGCCTGTAGTTAGGATCCTGCGTCGCTGCATGTGCTGCTAGGAAGGGGTCGTAATAAACGCTGCAAAATAAAAATTACACATGTGAATGACATGTTTCTTAAATTCAGGATTGCAATTAACCGAAGGATTAACAAACAGAACTGTATCCGGGAAATTTCAATGCACCCATCGCCTGACAGCATCGAAGGATTTTAATTTAACTTTCTGACTTCAATGACCAGCAATATTCGCGATAATACGATTGCTTCTGATTTAAAATATTTGCTTTTCACGTGATTAATGATACATTTTGAAATGCCTAACTAGGACACCAGAAGTGGATCACATTACAGACGTGAGATTACAGTTACTCGTCCATCATTTTTACTCTCCGTTGGGTTTACTCGTCACTGGGTTGTTATCTACGATTTCAGCAAAGTGAACGAAAATTCATAAATCACGGCTCGCGCGTTCCGCCCTTCCACTGAATCGCGTCAGGATGATCGGTGAACCCTGCGCCAGGAAAACGAACGATTTTAACGGGTTCGTGCATCGATGAATCGTAAAACTAACAGCTAACGTTATTCCTGAACGATAAAGTTCACGGTTGATCGATGAGGTAACACACGATACATCGCCTCTTTTATTTCATTCTCACCACGAACAATTAATTAACAAAGTTATTTATTTACAATTAAATTGGATTTTCTATTTTAATCTTCTATAACCCTTTTCATATTTTTTGTTTTAATTACCGATCATCGTGAATCACCGATTACAAGAAGGACATCATTATCGCTGAAAGAAGCTTGTCTACGTTAACTGAAAAGGCCGTGGATCGTAAAAATCAATGTATAAATCGTGCTTCACAGAAAGGTTAGATCGGTGCATGCGGGTGCAAAGATTTCGACAGGCAGGTTAACGAGCAAGGCACGTGCAGCAAATGCAACGGGGTTACTCGACGTGTGTTGATTTTCGATGACACTCGATGATCCTCGCGTCACGTCGACAAATTGGCGGAATTTCTCTTCCTTCTCTGAAACGAACTCGACGATACGTGAAATCATCAGCAACCAAGATCAAAAAAAAAAAAAAAAGAAGAACGTAAATTTCCTTTCTGAAGATTGTGGCGCTTACGTCGAAGAACAATTTCTTTTCGAGTTTCCATTAAAAAGTTGATATACAAAAATTTAGGTTAACAGAACTTGATTTTATATACACGAGAGAAATGATTCTACGATACAGTTTCAATTTGTATTCGTTTAACGTTCTTGACGCTATGAAGTTCGCAAAATTTTTTCGACCACTATTTAAATAATTCTAGAAATTGCAATAGGAGCTTCAAGAATATAATCGAAAATAGATCGACCATCAAACGCTCGAGTAACCCGTTGACATTAAAGAACATTCATCGAGAAGTGCGTTGTGCATAAACGGCGCACAACGTGGTCGTCTACTTACGCTGGTGCAAAGGGATGCAGGGCCGTGGCTGCAGCTGCAGCTGCAAGTGGCCCCGGGTTCCTAGCGAGGGCCAATGCCGCTGCACTTGTCGGGAAAGCCGCCCTCGCAGCTCCTACCCTTCCTCGTTGGATGGCGACTCCTCTCAGTGCCGCGGCTGTAACAACACACACAAATGCACATACGAATACTGACCTGCCTTTTGTTAACGTGTTTTATCAGCTGGTGAGTTTGTCCGGCCATGACCGCTTCGTTCAATGTCCCAAGAGACAATATACCAGGGTGACGACGAGACGAGGCGAGATTTTTTACATTGAGATCGACTTTCAGGGACTTAAGGACCTTCTGATCATAGGGAAAAGGGTTGCTGAATATATTAGAAACGTGAAAGAAGACTGTTATTCAGATTATTTTGTCGAATATTCCTGCCTGAATTGAATACAGGAGGTAAATGAGTGATCTTTGTTCAGAAAAAAGGAAATGGTATCGTTTGCTCCTTTTCAATCGAAATAAGTTCCATTCAAGACACCAAATGGGAGAGCAGGTGAATGAGAGACAAGAATGGTACAAATCTATCTTTAGAGCAGCTGAATCCACTGGTCAAAGGGAAGAGAATCATGAAAACGAACCATCTACGTCCAACCACCACACGTGTCATCGAACAGTGCCAGTTGCTCAGAGTAATGAATCTAAATCTGTGAAGTCTATCATGAAAAACCCTCATACGAGGTCACAGATGGCTACCTCCACGGTTACATTCCAAGTACCAGAAACAGTGGAAGAAACTGATAGAAGACCCAAGAAACTCAAGTTTCAAGATAGATGTAAGAGATTCAGTAACAGTCCGATTTTCGGGCTGATTCTGTTGGTGGTATTTGGAATCCTGCTACCTTGTATTGTAATTTATGTAGCATTGTATTATTTGAACAAGATCAGAACGCAAACGATTCAATTTAAGCAAATAATTAACTAATGAAAGAGGAATAAAAATATTTCAAATTAAATTTCACCTGGAAATTAATTAGAAATTAGCCTAATTAAGCGTCGATGTTTCTACTGTGGCGATTGACTCGTTGATTGTTCTACTCCTTATCTCACAAAATTTCGAATTTTCTTTATATCTTTCTGGAACGTGCTGAATCTTCAAACCACTAATTATTTCTCTTTAAAAAATTCTTCAAGGATCTCAAAGAAACCTTAATGTCTCTTAATTGTCTTGCGTCTCAAGGATTTTTTAAACGAATTTGGAACACGTTCGTTTGACTCAAAGGATCCTTTAACTTAATCAAAGCCAAAGGAAACGATTAAAGAACAGATCTTTCGATTGAAGAAGGAAAATCAGCCGATTGATCAAGTTCTTCGAGGAAATCGAGCTCTTCGAACCAAGCACAGATGATTTCCCGTGAAAAGCACGTCGCTCGAATTGAACGAAAGCTTTCAGTGTTCAGGCAACTTGACGAGAAAATTCTTCGGGTCGTTCCGACGATCGTTCGAGCAACAATTAGGAAGGAATCGCCTCTTCGACGCGGTAGTTCGCTGATGGAACCATCGGGGACGTCCTTTTTGGAGCCGGAAATGGTGGTGCTCGCGGCGTATCCGGCCACCATTGATCGAGACCGATTCCCGCTCCTTTGATCCGGACTTTGAGCAATAAAATCTGTTTCTGCCTACCTTTTGTCCGTGCCGTCGCCTTTCGTGGCTCGACGAACTAGCTCGCCTTCTTTTATTTTACGTTCGTGCGTTAACCACCCTGAGCATCCACCTTGAAGATATCAAATGGTCTAATAAAATTTAATTTTTCATTTTTCTCCAAGGATTTAAAATTTTCCAATCAAAGAAGCGGTAGCTAATTTTAATAACTGACATTATTATTATATAAAAATAATTTCTTCAAGAAATGGATGCTCGTCAGGCGATTAGTACGAAGCAGAAAACAAAAACTGGCGTTGCTGGTTAGGCTAAAGGATTGTATACAACGAGCAACAACAGTAAACAACAACAATCAACAATTAAAAGTCACAACAACAATAATGGAATAGTATAGTTAACAATCAAACTACCGTGCAAGTGTCGCACGTGTGGTTAGCGTGAATTAAGAACGGAAGTTAACGAATTCTGTATCGAGTGGGAAAAGCCGGCTTTAGATCCGGCACTATTTTAGTATTCGGAAGTTTCGGTGCATCGAGAATAAAACTAGAGCGTGATGCATTTACAGCAGGCACATTCCAAAAACAGGTATTTAAGGGTGTGATAAGAATGAAACAATAAAATCAATCGCTACGATTCGATCTGTGGTGAAAATTTCCTTTAGAATATTTTACAAATTCCTGACGAATAAAAGGGTGTTTTCTAAGTAGGAAAAAGTTTCGAAGAAGTAGATCAGTTTTCGACCACAGATCAATAATCGTCGCGCGTTGAACGTCGCCCTAAATGGCGTGTCAGGTTCGTTAATTACGTGAAAGGTAACATCGATAAAATGCGTGGCCAGAGTGAACAAAAAAGGCTGGTGAGAGAGGGATTTTAATGGTGTAGAACGGAAAAGAAACAAAACGGAGAATGGTGCTGCTCGAGGAGGCAGCGACAATGTAACAACCGGTACGAACGGTGCCGTTTCCGGTGTATTCTCATGACGAACCGGCAACAGTCTCGTTGTTTCCTTCTACGAAATCGAAGATCCCTTCGATGCTGTTGTGTCATTTGCGTTACGTCGCCATTGTGTCGAAAGAAAGGGCGCTAAGAGGGCTGATAAACGTGTTGGAAAATGGAACAGAGGAGACGAGAGGAAAAATTGAAGAATTCAAGAGAGATTGCCTCTTAATATCGAAACACTAGTTAATTATATAAAATTTCAAATTTAATTAATTACCAAATTCATTATAACCGACGGAAAGTGCGGTGAGAGTGTATTGCGAGAAGGCAACAGCGATCGTGAACAAGAAATTACTCAATTATCCGGGAATCTGTCGAAGCTTCAATGTCGAGTTATCGCGTAATTGAACGAAGAGGGATCCTTTTAATTAATTCGTTCTAATCGCACTCCTGGTAATCTGTCACGGTGCTCGAGCGATTACGGGGCCATTAAACGATGATCACTAATTAAGTTGATCGAGCTGCTAGGAACGCTGACTAATCTGCTCGAACGCCTGAAACCGCGTCGCGTCTCGAAGAGGGATCGTTTGGAAAATCTGAGGAAGAATCGAGCGGATACGAGGACCATTCTCGATATCGAAGAAATTGGATCCATTTGGGTTCTCGAAGAGGCAGGCAATCTCTCGTTATTCACACTGGTTTCCGGTATCGCGTGCCGAAGGAAACATGGTGTGCTACGTTCTATTCAATTAATTCTTTTATACCATGTAAATTGATCAGAATTAATAATTGCAAGAACACAGCGACACTTATTTCTTTCAGCTTTCAAAAGTTTCTAAAGATAGAAGAAGCAAAGATGGGGTAGATTGGTGACAGGTTGAAAGGGGGTTAGAAGGGTAAAGGAAATGGTGTCGTGCTAGTGGTTTCGTTCAATCTCGCGTCATTTCCGGCTGGGTTATTAGAAGACTCTCTGTACCTTCGTCTCGCCGCCGCCCTGGGTGCGAGGACGAGCGGTGCAGCTGCTGGGGATGGGGTCACCGCGGCTGCGGCGACCGCTGCAGCTGCAGCTGCCGATGGCGCCGCTGCCCCTAGCCAACTCCACGGCATGGCCGGCAACCTGTATCCTGTTTTTTGTCAGAAACTGTTAGTTTGTTACATCGTGTGAACCGAACTTGCGACAATCCTTTAGGTCGCGTCCGAAACAACCCTTATCTCGAAACCATGAATCTTTTTACTTCTTATCTGGATCTGATATAACAAAGAAAAATTATGTGAAAGATTAAACGTCATAATCACGAACAGGTAACATTGTTCATCAAAGTGTTAAAAATTTAGATTTATATTTAATAGATTTTCTAGATAATTAGACTGCAGATGTATATTTTGTTGTTTCACGGTGTCTGATTCATGGTAATGATTAGGGGTTGAAAATGGCAGGTCGTAGATTAAATAGTTATTCTCGTGAGCCATGAATGATTGTCTGTGACACGGAACCGTTGTTCTAGAAAACTTTTCCATTTGTTGTGCTAAATGGTTGGATATTAATAATGTAGTTTGAGCTGTTACCGTGTTACAGGCGACACGGTCACGAATTAACTTCATTAATATTTCGCACCATCTTTTTACGAATATTTTCTGTATCAGTTAACGAGCTGATTATTTAGTTTATTTATATTCATAATTTTATCTGAAATTTCTCTGCTTTTTCGTTTCCCTTTTCTTTCATAATTATATTACTTTAATTTAAGATAATAGTGACATGATTAAGATATTCAATAATTTACGATTTAATTAAATACCAGTCAGAATTGGAACCTACGCTAAATCCCCAAGTGTGAAATTGTAAATTTCCATGGCACAGTGTGACAAATTCACAGGATTGTAATTATCGCGATAAAGGAGACGATGTGCCTAGGTACAAAAGGAATTCGATACCGTTTTGATGATTCCTGTACATGAATTATGTATAACAGGTAATACGAGAATTCAGGTAACTGAATATCGAAACAGATTAACACCACCGCAAAATCGAGTGTTCAAATTTCATGTGGAACACCACGAAGACGCGTCTAAGTTTCACATCCTGTATTTATTTCTTTAGAATTTATCTAATTCAAACATTTTCAATTGCAACATTCCACTGTTTCTTTTTCCATTTTCTTTCAAAGACGAACCATTTAAATATCCCCTGAAGATGAGTGAATCATCAATTTTGTAGCTCTATGTATAAATCGAGAATTACGCTCGGATATACATATATCTTAGCTTCTCTCTGGTTCACTTATTTTAAGGTTCCAGTTCGATGCTGTTCAAAAATTGCTGGGGTTATTCTTGGAGGAAACGAGGACGATCTAAAATTGAGGAGTGAAACGCCTCCAGAAATCGCAACGAGAGCAAACATTCAATTTTTATGCGAGACACTATCGATCCCTCCCATCCTCTCCTTGATACTTTTATTTCACAAATGTGAAATAACCTTTTCATTTTCGATTTTTACACTAAATTTATCAAATTTTCAACACCTCTCTTTCCACTTTGCAACTCATACAACTTTACAAAATATTTTATCTTCTCTTCTATTTTTTCTGTTGAAACGTCTCGATATATCGCCGCAACTTTAGCAAGCTTTCGAAGCGTTTTAATTAAACTTCCGCGTTCGCGTAACGATCGTCGTTCAATGAGCGTACGGAGACAATGTATTATTAATTAACTCGCTCTTTCCGACGTTGATTTATTCCTGCAACAATACGTCGCCTATTTGCCCGCGAACACGACCGAACTGCTAATTACCCTCGCGTTTATTTATCGGTTCGTCGTCAATCGGGCTCGGTCGACGTGATTCCCGACGAAAAGCATCGATTATTGTTTGTGATTTTTCTTTTTTCCTTTTCCCTGCTTTCTCGATGACATTCATATGCTCGCTCCTCGTACCCAATTATACGGAATACGGTTCGTTTCTTCTTTGTGCGGCGAAATACAGAATATGTGGAGCTTTCCAATCGTTTCACAATTTCACTATAAATTCAAATCGTTTTTCTAAACAGAAAGGATTTCCATTCTTTCATATTTCTATCTCTTAACATTCTTAGCTGTAGTAACTTGGATTAATTTTGAATAATTCTGGTTAATCTGTATTATAAATTCATCAATGGATCTGTCATATTAACGTCGTGGATATTTCAATGAAAATTTCCATTTCTATGGAATGTTCTTCTTTATAAATTCAGAAGGGAGAGCGAGCTCGTTAAATGAGGTTCTCAGTCTAGCCTCGAGTGGCACCGCAGTAATTAATATGATTGAATTGATGAATTTAGGCTGTCTCTTTAATATAAGAGTACGAGCTATGATGCAAATATTATGCAGTTCTCACTGTGTGACTCTATTAATTTTTAACGGAAAAATCGTAAATTGCAAC